AACAAACCCTACAAGTTCCGATCTGACAGGATGGTCATCTGGGTCGACGCCATTGCAATGCAACTTCACTACAAAACAAACAAACAGTTGCAAAATTAGAAGTGATTGTGTGTTTGCAGAAGAAGGGAGAAAGAGAGATAGCTACATGTGAAGAGTGTTGTGGTGGCTTTTGCGAGCAAGAGGAGAGATTGAGCACGCTGAAGAGGGTCCAATTCGGAAAGAGTATCAGAGTCGCAAAGAGGCAAGAAATCGAGGAAATTAGTTTGGAATTCTTGAAAGTTGATTAAAGTTCTATTCGCTGCCTCCGTTATTGATTCCGGAACTACTCCTCCTCCTCCTCCGTCCATCTTGGTGGTTTCTTTGGTGGTGACTTGTGTCGTTCGTTTTTAACTTGCAACCTGCAAAATCTCGAGCGCCGCTAAATTGAGTTGAAGAACAGAGTTTTTGTGGAATTAGGGTATTTTCTTTTTGTATAAAGTTAAAAAAAGAAAGCACAAATTTTATATTAATGGTATATAAGCAATATTATAAAATGACAATTGACAACTAGTAACAGTTTATTATTATTATTATTATTATTATTTAATTCGATAAATTGTTGATTTTTTCCGTTTTTATTCGTGACTCCTAAATATTATTTGTTATGACATTCAAATATATTGAACCACATAACTTCTTTATTTAGGTATATGTTGATATTCTATCCACTATAACATCTGATTTTTTTTTGAAACGGCAAATCTAACCTACTCCTAAACTACACCATAAATCCACCTATGTCCACGACGGGACTATAACATTTGATAGGACATAATAACTCTATTGATTGACATCTAATATTACATAATAACTCGCTGATAAGAACATATTAAAAAGTTTAGACAAAACTTCAAAAATGGTCCCTGTGGTTTCCGAAAATATCAAGTTTAGTCCCTAAGTTCAAAAAACCTCACAGATGGTCCCTGTGGTTTCAAAACTTTTAACAAATGATCATTTTCGCTAACTCCGTTAACATTTAGCCGTTAAGTGAAGGACATTTCTGTCATTTCACAACTGCAGGGACCATTTATGAAGTTTTGCCTTAATTTTTTTTAAAAAAAGAAAAAATAAATATAATTATTTAATATTAAACACCCTCTCTCTCTCTCTCTCTCTCTCTCTCTCTCTCTCTCTCTCGTGAATCAAATCATTCTTCGTTGCCCCCACCATCGCATCATTCCTCACCGTTTATCACCACCAAATTCTACCACCGCTTCCTCTGGTAAACACTCCGATCCCCATCCCATCCTTCTCTTCCTCCCTAAAAGTTCACCAAGAAATTGAGCCTGAGTAACAGACATGAAATCGATTAGCAACCCCAATGAAATCATTCACAAAATCAAGAAACGGGTTCTCCGTTTTAGTCACCGGAGCAGCTAGAAGACGAAATGGGGACATCCCTCCTCCACCCCTCCTCCTGTTGATCGGAAACAACCAAACACCCCTGAGGATCGCTGCTTCCCTCCGCTGCTACTTTGATGTTTCCTTCCCTTCCTCCCTCGTGTTTTTCCAATGGAACAGAGAAGGAACGACCAAGGAGGCCACCGGAGCAACCCCCTTGCTGTAACAGTCACCCAACATCATAAGTTGCCTTCGTTTTCTTCCTTCATTTTGGCGATTGTCCAAACCCCCCACTGAACCACCTCTGCTTCCATTCTTCTTTCTCCATTCGATCCAGTGTTTCCCATTCCCCTCGATTTGTGATCGCCGACGACGAGAGAAGAGCCAAGGGGAGTTTGCCGAAGATCGACTCCCTTCTTGCGATCTATTTAACCATCAGACCACCATTTTGACTGCTTCCATTCGTGTTCCTTCTTCCCTTTCCCGGTCAATGAAGAAGAGGCGTAAACCAACAAGGGGGTTATCGGTCTCGACGGACACCCTTTTCCCTCCTCGTGATTTCCCAGCCGCACCGGACCTCCCATCGGTGTGCCTTTCATTCGTATGTTCCTTGCCCAATCTGATGGATACAATGATTATTCAAGGTCAAAGTTGGTTTGGCTTTTTGGGGAAGATGAAGCTATAAGAATACGTACTGTATAAGTCTCAAAGCAATGGGGGGAGAGAGAGAGAGAGAGAGAGAGAGAGAGAGAGAGAGAGAGAGATCAAATTTCTTTCATTTTTTCTTTTTTTTTTTAATAAAAAAATTAAGATAATAAGAGAAAACCTCATAAATGGTCCCCAGATATTGAAATGACGAAAATACCCCTCACTTAACGGTAGAAAGCTGACGGAGTTAGGCGGAAGGACTAAACATTAAAAGTTTTGAAACAATAGGGACCATCTGTGAGGTTTTTTGAACTTAGGGACTAAACTTGATATTTTCGGAAACCACATGGACCATTTTTGAAGTTTTGTCAAAAGTTTAGTAACATATTTGATAAACTGAAAAAAGTGATATAAAAAACAAACATGTTATAATATTAACCCTAATACTATTTACACATTTTTAATAAAATAAAAGTAACATATTGATATCTTAAAGTATTAAGAAACATAATGAGTCTTTGCCTACTAGAACCTTCAAGGAAGTTGCAAAAGACAAAACAGACGATAAGATGATGCATCTTTGTGTCTTCTCATTATGATCTAGCTATATAAGGGAATCACGATTCCTTCAAATTCCTTTATAACTTATGAATCAAACTGAATATTTACTTTCTTTTTCTCTATTTGTTTCGCTATAACACTTTTTTTATTTATATTTATATTTTTCAATATGTTGTTTTAGAAAACATAATTAGTTTAAGGATCATAGTTAACGGTAAAAAATTTCTACTAATGGTATTTTATAAAAACTACAATGGTGATACATAACGGATGAATCAAATCATAGTGGTATGACATTTTTGGTTAGTCAAATAAGATCATTAGCCAATTATATCCGATTCCAACTAATCACACATTATTTTTTTAGAGGTCCATAACACTGTTAAATCAATATTTGATATGTCATAACAATTAATATATAAACCTCAAAACTTTATAAACTTATTTTCACTATCTATAAATATTTTAAAGATTTATGAGTAGGTCCAACCGATATTAATTATTAATGTACTCTCTATATATTATGTTAAATTATAAAACAAAAAGAAAAAAATTTATAATACTAAAATATAATAACATTAACACCATTTTACAAAAACAAATTTTTGGTTAGAAATAAATTTGTTAAAACATACTCAATATTGCTTTGAGGGTATTAACTAACTCTATCTAATGATGTGATCTACTGAAAATAATATTCAACTTTTATTATGTGTTTTAGATAAATTAAAAAATATATATATAAAGCATAAACTCAATATTAGAGAAAGGGGTAAACAGTAAAATGCTAAGTATAAATGACAAAATGGTAGACATGAATAAATTATCGGTTTCGAACTGGTCTCGAAAAAGAACTAAGACTGAACCATCCAAGACCTGTTTCAAAAAATACCAGAAGCGAAAGTTTTAATTACATATTTTTTAATCTCACATTATCCAAAGTCTTCTCTTCTTTCTTTTATTAAATTTTAGTATATCAGTTTTACTAAGTCTTAATGCATCATTTTTTTTGGAAAGGGAACTTCCCTAACGAGAGTTTCCGGACCAGCTTTCGTGCACCGACTAATCCCCGCTGCAAACATGAGGCTTTGCCTCATGCCCTGGAGTCACTGCAGGCGAACCTCCATGGCCACAAGGGCTGAGTAGTGTCAGGATTTGAACATGGGTCAATAGGTTATCCACCATATCTTCCACATGCCTTACCAAAGTCACCACAACATTAATGGAAAAACTCAAAATCGAAACCGAAAAACAGAGAAATACAGAAAGCGAACCGAAAATACACACACAAAGATAAAAAGACCGAGACCGATCCGGGAAAAAAAACCTGATCAATTAAAGACCGACACGAGACCGTCCGATTTGGCCCGAAAAAAACCATAGATTGTTCCAAAATTGACTTGGGGCCGTTGTAGGACCGCCAATATGCACCTCTACTAAGTGATCATTCATCGGATCCATACAATCTCGCATGAACTTTGAGCACACTATGGTATAAGAAATTCATGGATCTCTTTGAATTTACCATAATGGATATTCTTAGGCGGCTAGCATAAGGAGCTAAAGGCAACTCGATCTCTTTAAAGTCAAATGCGAGACATCTTATGCAAGGATATACCACCATATTAAAAAAAAACATCGTACCCACACATACTAGTTGTATTGTATATTTAGCAAAAATAGTTGGTAGTTAGAATCTTAAGGCTATAACTTTATTTGTGTAAAAGTGCTTGGAAAACCAATTGTAAACTTTTGAAAGATGTAAAATTACATAAAATGACATTTGATAAACAAATGTGTATTTTAAAGGCAACTAGGTAATTTTGTTTTAACAGATAGGGTTTTTTCTTCCTTAAAAACTAATTGAAATAGTTCAATTTTGAAATAATACGTAGAGTTTTTTTTAAAGCTGTTTGAATTTTGAAGTAGTTTTTTATTTAAAAACTTCCTATAACAAAATTTAAAAAAAAAAAAATTAACTCGTACTCTCAAAAAAATCATTTTCCTTAATTCTTCTTTTTTATAAGTTAAAAGCTTCAACCTCCTAAGGGGTGTTTGGGATTTATAAAAGTCCTTTTTGACTTTAGCTTTTGAGAAGGTAAAAACCAAAAGTTGTTTCTAAAAAGTGTTTGCCTAACAAATTTTGACTTTTTGATGTAATTTACTTTTTAAGTGGCTAAAAGTCATAAAAAGACAGTATTTCATGACTTTTGAAAAAACCCCACTTTTCTTCCTAACAAAAAGTTAGTTTCAAAAAGATTTTTCTAATTGCCAAACATCTTTTTGAATTTTTTGACTTTTTGAAAAACCAGAAGTTATTTGAAAAACAATCCCAAACACCCTCTAAAAACTCGTTGCCAAACACACCCATAGCGGTTTATCTGCTAACTTTTAGCAGAAATTTAGAAAGATAACAGAAAAAAACGAAGTTGATATACCGGACCCATATGTTATGTACAATGTGAAGTCCTTCATGAAAGGTGGACAGACACAAACTCGCCTCAATCTCTCCTATCTAATAAAAGACATAAATACCCTCCTAGTCCTATTCATAAGAATATCCCTACAAAGCATCCAGTCAAATCATTATTACCAACAACAAAGAAAATGACTTTTCCTTTACATTCAAAGCGAAAAATACTTGAAAAAAAGATTTATAGACATCTAAAAGGTCTATGGTTTGAGGTAGTGTGACTTCTACCAACATATATATACCAACAAAGTAACAAACACTAGAATGATTCATTCGTTTTTGGGGCATACACTTTTAGCTTCCATTCATTCATTCATCTGCAGCATTTTTTAGTTTACCCTCATCTACTTGTTCTTGTTCTTGTGCTTCAGTAGTAGTAGTAGTAGATGCCTGAATTGGCTTCTTGAATTGCACCAAAATCATGGTCATGTTGTCACATCCCTCTCCTGTGGATGTTGATGGAGCCAAACATTTATCAAACACTCTCTCACATATTGTTGAAAGTTTACTTTCCTGTATAATATAATAATAATAATTACAACTGTTAGTATATTCCAAATTATAACTATGAACAGTTATTACAATTTACATACAAACAGTCATTTGACATTCATCATCACTTTTAAGTTTTAAACACAAGGGTATGATGGTCATTCGCTTTCCTGTACAAGTCCAATAGTTAGAACTTACAACTCCCAATTTATAACTACAAACAGTCATTTACAATTTTAGTTTTTCTCAAATGAACAGTCATTGGATATTCATAATCACTTGAATAGAAGGGCAAAATGGTCATTTACTTTTGTGTATGATTCCAAGAGTTCGAATCCCCAAATTATAACACTATAATCAGTTATTTATAATTCTAGTTTATAAAAGTTCTCAAATAAGCATCACTTTTAAACAAAAAGGGTAAAATGGTCATTTACTCATATTGAGATGTTTCAATTAATCGAAAAAAAGAAACATATTATGTTTTTACAACAATTAATCCATACAACAGACATACATCATTTAGCGTTTACTTTTTAATTAATCCAGAAAGTACATTGGTCAGTCAAGGGCTGAGGGAAATCGGACTTTCCTCATTAAGTCCTAATCTTTACAAATTTGCCCTTGATTATTTTTTTTCAGATGTGCCATTATATTAATTTCTCAAATATATTTTAGACATTTATCCAGATAGCACGTTATCTAGACAACACTTAATGGGAAAAAAACAACTTACTGATTTCAGTTGCTCATGAACAAAATCCACTAATTGTTGGCTTGACATGCAATCCCTGAATAAATGAAGTTAAATAATTCAGCAATAAGAGAAAGTTAGTTTAGAAGAAAAATAATTGGTTATTAAATAGTAGTATTACATAAATAAAAAAACAAGTCATATTGGAGAAAACTAAAGAAGCTGCCCTTACCAGATACCATCACATGCCAGCACAACAAAATCATCATCATCACAAAGCTCAACCTAAACAAAAATATAAAATTTATATCAAACATAAAAAAAGAACAATGAGTTATATAATAATAGCAAAGGGGGCTTACAGTGTTAACATCAGGATTTGCAGTAACTATTTGCTTTTCAGCAGACAAAAACTTGTTCTGCTTAAATTCCATGTCACCTGCACAAGTAATGCTATAAATGAAGGAATCTAATGGGTTTTGCTAACATGGGCCATTGTGATTCATAGGGTCTTTAATGTTAATTTGTATAAAGGTCACTTCATATATTAATGGGCCATTGCCAATTTAAGAAAAGAATTTTATTATAATGATTTGCATATTTAAGTAAACCAACATCTAAGAACCCAAATCTAAAAAATTAAATCAAAACCCACCCTGGAAAACCAAATATTTATCAAAAGAAAATTATTAGGCTAGATTATAAATCCATTATGTAATTTAATGATTTGCAAACTACACCAAAAAAAAAAAAACGAAACTAAATATAACCCAAAAAAATACGAATCCTATAATTCTTGATGAAACCAAATAATAGGTAGGAGCATAAACTGAAATACTCTAAAAACTAAAATGTTGATAGCATGTGATTTATCAACAAATAAATTCACCTTAATGTCCTAATAAAAATTATAGCCTTGATAAAAAAAAAGGGTATACTTTTCAAAGTACAATGCCTTGATACTACAAAATTATGTAGATTTTTCAAAGTATAATGTCCTAATAAGGAAAAAAAAGGATACTATAATATAAAAATAAACGGAAATACATCAGCATTTCTAAGCAAAAAGATAAAACAAATAACAGGATAAAAGTCCACAAGCACAAGCACAAGGGTAAAAAGGTAAAATACCTATAGCTCTTGTAAGATTAAGACTACCATTAACTCTGCCCGCATGAATAAATCCACCTGCTTTTAGTATCCTATCTCTCTCAACCTCAAGCCCAGGCTTGTGATCTCTTGAAAGATTGTATGCCTGCAATTTTTATTTACATGAAACTTGGTTTGTATATTTATCAATTATCATAATAATAAAGGAAAGATTGTTGATATTATTTAAATTTATATTGATATTATTATTTATTACCTCACCCTTCCTGGAAATTACACAACGGGAATCACCAGCATTTGCAACAATCAGTTGATTGTTTCTCATGACAGCAACACATGCTGTACATCCGGATGTGGGCCCCGTGAAATCAGAATGTGGACCCTACAAATAGAATATGCTATTATTATAAGTAAAAATAAAAATAATAAAAGTACATTGCTATTTTTGGAAAAAGTACCTCCTCAAAAGCCCATTCATCAAGCTGATGACTTGTTTCTCCTCCTCTTGGAGACCATATGAGAGACTCAATGACACCTGAGAATTTGTTTATTCTATCTCCCAAAATAGATAACTCCCTCCACCCTCTTTGTCCTCTCATCATCTCATCCATTCTTCATAATAAATAAATTAATAATATAAATAAACTTAAAGTCTATGTGACAATCACAAGAATTTCAAAGATATGAAGTCACCTGATAAATGACTTCTCTACAGAGGTTTCAATATCTCCATTAGAATATGCTTCATGTTTGAGCACTTGTCGATGAAGATATTTTGCACAAAACTTAGCAACCACTTTCCCTGATGAGATTCATGACATGGCATGGATGTGTTATGTGTATATGATATTATGATGTAATATTTTACTTTGGAATTATTAAGTGATTTATTGGGACTCACCTCCATGGCCATCATATACACCAAAGAAAGAGGTGGAATGATCCAGATCAGGAAGTGCAGCATGCTAAACAACACAAACAAATGAAATAATTTTCAAGAATGTAAAGATTTTATTACATTACAACTTTACTTTCTAAAAATATACTCTCGAATAAGTGAAGTTGGCTTCAATGTATAGAAATAAACATGTTCCACATATAGGAAATCTTTAAAACTTGGAAGTCATTATCTACTTACAGCATCTTCCATTGTTGCACGCCACCCTTGCATTGATGATAAACCATATTTGACCCTTCCATTCTCACCATCTTCAGAGAATTTTTCTGTTTTAGGAGTGCTGAGATATGTACCCATCTTTTTACCTGAAATTACAATAAAACCAAATGGTCAAAAAAGCATCAATGAGCTCTTAAAAGTAATGATAAGAATATTCACATGTCAACTGTTTTCGAGTTTCAAGCTCTGCTGCAAAAGTCATTTAGGCCCCATTTGTCACATAGGAAAAAACATGGTGTATAACTGAATATAGCCCAATGGAGTAGAAGATCCTTGTCAATTTCATTCAAAAGTCAAAATCAGTCTAAAGATGGATGGAGACAAAGGATCCGCTTTTGAAAAACGAATAAGAAAATGTTTCAATCAGCGTCTTTCAACTCCCATGTAATCGAGAGATTTGGGATCGAATCATGAGAACTGAAAATTATTCCCAGATTTCTAGTCAAACAACTAGGCACATGAAGGATATGAATATAACGAATAATTGGAGCAGGAACAGGAACTGAAACTCCAAAATCGAGATCGTACGACATGAACTTATCAAAATCAATGATGAATAAAATACTGATAGTTTAGGGGATTTACTTACCTAGATTGCCCGATTGGGCTGCCAAACAATTCGATTAACAAACCGAACCCAATTCGATTGAAGCTTCAACAAATCCAATCGCTATTAAGATTCGCGGTGCCCTAGAAGACCTAAGGACTTTGGGAGATGAAGATGGTAGGGTAGGAAAGAAGAATGTCGACGAGAAAGAACAACTGTTGAAGGGTGTTAGTACGGCTGGTGTATGCACAATACGATCTGGAGTGACGTGTGATGACAGAGGTTTGTACTTATCCATGGAAAACCGGTTGCTACTTTTAGCTTTGACTCTGAGTCAACTTTCAAACCAGGTGCCATGGCTGACTAGATGGTGAGTGGTGAGTTAAAGTTTACAACCATGAAAGACTAAACCATGGTTTGGAACATGGTTTAACATGGTCGATAGACTTACAGTAGTATTTCAACTTTTAGCATTTTATATACATTATCTTAAATAAAAAAAAAATCTCCCAGCTCCTAATTTTGCTTCAAACTTGTCATTTTCCTATTGTAACGTGATAAAAGAAATATTTGTTTTTTACATATCTTTCCTGTCAATAGAGATCTACAAACTGCAATCCGATCAGATCCGGATGTTTTTTACATATCTTTCCTGTCAATAGAGATCTACAAACTGCAATCCGATCTGATCCAGATTTGGATCCGGATCTGATCCAGTTTTGATTACGTCAACAACGATCTAATTCGATTTTGATTCGATCTGGTTTCGGTTTGGTTCGATTCTCCCATTGTAGTTTTGGACTGATTTGAATGATCCAAGTTTTCACCGGTTTAGGCCCAATCTAGTTTACGATCCGAGGTTTAATATGTTTTTGATTCTAAACAATGAATCAATTTTAATCCGGTCTATCATATTATCTGATTTGGTTTGGTCAAAAAAACAGTTTTGGTAGGACCCGGTTTTCGGATTAGATCAAATCTATACCGTGAATCTAATTTTCATGTGCATCTCTACCCAGACACGAGTCTATAGGCGAGTTTGATACAGAGCGTTTAGGAGCATTTGAGAGCTTTTAACGTTTGATAAAACGCTCTGTTTTGAACAAAAAGTTTCGTTTGACACTACAAGTTTTTAGCGTTTAGATTAAACAAAACGCTCAAAATCTAAAAGGTATCTCACGTAGCTTTTAAAAAAACGCAACCAGTTACCCGCTACCAACTAGTTTTGCCAAACACGCCCATATGTAAATGATTATCTTATCATTTCATATCAATGAGTAGTGGTTTACATCATACATCGGTTGAAAAATAAAGCTTAGGATGACTCCAAGCTTATAAAATGAATCCAAGACTTTGGTTTCAAAGCACCCAAATCAATATAATTGAAGTGTTTGATTCTTTTTTTAGAGTATAGAAACTGTTAGTAAAAACTTTGGAAAATGTGGGTATAATTTAGAAAAGGCTTGAGAGAATAATCTATGTGACTATAATAATTTATTATACAATTGATCGTTCTCTCTAGAAGCATGTGGTTTTTCTCTGATTGTAAAGTTTTTTCATTTATATTCTTATGTTCATTTATTTTCTATATTATTGTTATTAGGAGGATTGTTGGGCATCATTGAGAACATTTTTCCAACACCGTAAACAAATAACCAAATTAACCTCAAGCTTGCGATGGCTTAAGATACATCTAGCAAACATATATGGTGGTGTAATGGACAAGTTGGTCCATAATGGTCATTTAACATTCATAAACAAGTATTTAGGACATGTTTGGCAAAAGTAGTTGTTAGCTGGAAACGGGTAGTTGTTAGTGCGTAACAGGTAGCTGGTAGCTGGAAGCTATAGTTTTTATTTGTTATATGAGTGTTTGCCAAAAGTAGCTGAAAGATTTTGCAATATATAAAATTACATAAAATGACAATTGTTTAAAAATAAATAAAATATAAATATATTTTTAAGATGAATTATGGAAATTGATTTCAAAAGCTCAGTAACGTTTTGTTAAACGCTACATGAAGTAGCTTTTAAATTTGGAGCGTTTTGTTTAAACTAAAAGTTAGATGCTCGTACTGCCAAACAAAGCCTTTTGTTTAAACGAGAGCGTTTTGTCAAAAACTAAAAGCTAGAAGCTTTCAAACGCTTCCAAAAGCTCCGTGACAAACACGCCCTTAGATTAGATTTTTTATTATTTAAATCAACCTCCTACAATTAATGATTGTGAACTAGAATGAAACTCGTGCTTCGCATGGGGCAAAATGTGTTGTTTGTTTTTTTCTTTATCAAAAAATGCTATACTTAAAAATTAAGCCCAATTATAGCAACTGAAAAGGTAATAAGAAAGAAATTAATAGAAGTAGGTTAGTGTTCCTTCCAGCAATTCTAACATGGTTCTGAAGTTTGATTCTGGGAATCTATATTGATTCTTTCATTGTATTTGCATTTATAGATGAGTTATGAGGCTTCAATTGTTTCGGTGTGAAGAGAAATAACAATAGATACAGATCTTATCCCATGACAAGCTTTATACTCTTTGATAAAAGGAACAAAAATATGTTGTATTAGCTTGCACCACTAAATCTAATGACCTAATACTTGATCCCGTCATAAGCTTTATATTCTTTGCTTCAATAATGACGATAAAAATATATTAGTACTTTTAAACTTGTCCTACAGACAATATGTCTATCTATCTCATCAAGTTTTATATTCTTTGTTTCAATAACGATAATAAAAGCATATTACATACCTAATACTTGTCCCATGAACAATATGTCTTTATCTCGTCAAGATATCTTCTATTACACATCTAGTACTTAACTCATTAAGTACTTAGTCTTTATCTATGTCTAGTGACATATAGGTATTTTACACAGTATCATCATGTATAAACATAGATACATACACTTATGGTTTACATTACGTATAATCATTCTCTATCTCTATCTTAAATCTCTTAGGGGGGAGGGAGTCGTTGCGGTTTAGGGAGCTGGTATGGGGCAGTACTGCCGGTTTACGATTCCGACGAGCTAGAGGGTCAAGCGGTTTGGTGTAATTGTTGTTTGAGCGAGTTGGTGCACCCGTGAGTGAAGTTGCCTCATCTCTCTCTCTCTCTCTCTCTCTCTCTCTCTCTATATATATATATATATATATATATATATATATATATATATATATATATATATATATATATTTCTTTACCAAATTCTTCTATTCTTTACCAATTTCTTGTTTTTTGACGAAGAGGAGAGCAAATTTTCAGCGATGCTAGAGTATGTGAAAAAGAGAGTCTTGATGGGTGGAGATTTAGATTGTGATGGAAGAAGATGGAGTCGGCTCTAGGAAATAGGTTTAGGTACAAAAGTAGTTAATGTATAAAGTTACATTTTAGCCGCTACAGTTTATACATTTCATTAAAACATACTTATTTGTTTTTTCTATCCTATTTTTTTTAATAAATTATGCATATTTTATTTTTAATTATATGGTACAAGATATATGATAAAGCAAATATTATAAATGTTTTTAAAACAATATAAACTTCAAATATTTTTTGATAATTTATATTTGTTTTATAATTTATTAAATAATATTTGTTTTAATTAACTATTATTTTTAATATTATTTTAGAAAAAAAATGTTATGCTCTTTTTTTCTAATTTAATTAAATAAAAAATAATAATGTGGCAAGTAGGTTGAGTGAGTTGGGAAAGATAGGGTTTCAATGTGTTGTGGGTTGCGAAAGATGAAAAAGAAATGAAAGAGAAAAGCTTATGTGATAGTGGGTTGGGAGGGAATGACTCTCTTCACCCTTAGGTATCCATAGATACATTATCTCATCATCTACTCATACATAGGATTATAATACCTATAATCTCATAATTTCTTTATCTGCTCTCAAGGGTATTACTCATAGTATTCTTGTTCTTTCTCCATACATCTTTACATACTTTGGTGATACACACATGCTCAGATACATGATATATGTTGGTGATTTTAGTGTCACCATGTCATTTTAAGTAACTGGAACTAACATGTGAGCTAAGGGGCTTCATGATTTGTACTCTAATATATGTACGGGGTTGTGCGGAGTGCACGCATGTATAAGATCGAATCAGAAGCTGGTTCGACGACTAGTCGGGGGTCCGGGGTTTCCAAAGGGGCATCGCCCCTTTGGCGGGGTCTAGGGGCAGCGCCCCTAGCGGGGTCCAAGGGGCAGATTAATATTACTTGAGGGTGATTATGGTAAAACTAACGAAACTCGTTAGTTTTGGTATCCCTAATCCGGATTAATATTACTTGCTTCCAAAGCAACTAATGACAGCCCAACCCTAATGAAACCCTAATCGTGTTTAATATATAAACAACTCTTCCTTTCCAGAAGGGAGTGACGTTCTTTAGCTCTCGTTTTTCATCACACATTCACAGAACCCTTTAGCATATTGGCTTACGTTTTCTGTGCCTAGAAACGTAAGTGTCCACTTGGATTATCCTAGGCTGAATTTCTTGTAACCCAGGCATAGGGTAGAAATATCAGTTCGGAAAGTGATATCACGATCCAAGTTGGTATCCAGATCTCCACCACAAACCCTAAATTTTCCCAACAATATATATATATATATATATATATATATATATATATATATATATATATAATATATATATATATATATATAACAACATAGAGAGATAGTATGTGATAGTTATAACTCACCTTATCAGTTAGCGAGGACTAACTACTCTTCTTGGCTCCTTTCTTCAATTGATGCATCTTAACTCATCCTCTTTATCAAGGCCTATTCATACAACGTTTCAAGTTCCTTAAAACTTGTCTTATCTTATTAAGAGCTTATCTACTTCTAAATGTCAAAATGATCACTTAATTTATCATAATTTTAACATTTCATCCTCTACTTCTAAATTCAATCTAATTATTGAATTAAGCATCCCGTAATACTTAATTCATCATAATCTACCATCTAATGCATTGATTAACATATTCACTAGTTTAGGCTTTCAAACCCTAACTTCACACATATATATTTCACCATTGAAATCACACATAAAGCTTGTTCAAAGCTTCGAAAACACTACTAATGACATCAATTAACAATCTTCTTAAGAGTAATCACTCATATCTAACTTAATTCCATTAATCACCATTAATGCCCTAAGAGCTTAAAGATGAAGGAGATGATTACCTAATAAGCCTTTGATGTTTAATTATCGGAGTTTTTCCTCTAAGAAACATGGAGTGTTTTTGGCGAGAATGAGGCTGATTAGGGGTTTAATCTATACGACACCGTGTCGTTGTGGTTTGTTTACCGCGATGCAACGACCTTTTGATTGGACGT